ACCACTATAAGACACCAATTAAGATGTTTATTTTGCTCCAGTTTTGCAGATAAAACATTTGAACACTTAACTTATTTATCTCAGCCTGCTACACTGAAACACCGACAATATACTGTACGGCACTGATACTCCTCCTCTTTTATTACATGCCCTACAGTTTTCTAATCTGTGCATAACTCAGCTTTTACTTCATTCAAACATCGCTTTGATTTCCTGTCGACATTCCAAACACATTACACACACTTATTTAAATTTGCGCGAAACTTTGCTGCTTCCCACATCATCCAGTTGAAGGTCGTTCTGAAGTTGCACTTAGGCTCTTCTTTCTCTGACAAGGAGGTCCTCCTCTTGTTATTTAGGAGAAGGAGTGCCGATAATATACAGTTTGCTTAGAGCTGGCGCCAGACTGACTCGCTGGGTATCTGACTGACTGAGGACTCCGGCAATTACTGGCTCCGCTCTTAAAGGGGCCGCAGCCACAAGCCCACGTCTGCTTTGGACTGACGGCGCTATCCCAGCAGGCATAGCGCTGCTTCCCCGTGAACCCGTGTGAATGAAAGTGGCTCTCTTTACTGAAACCTAATGACGATGTAAGACAAGCTGAGGCTAGAGTGGACACTTTGGGAAGTGTGTTTTAGCATTTCATTGATGAGTTCAGTTCTTCTTGATGGGCGACTCTAAGAAATCTGTTTTATAAAGGAAGCCTTTTTGTGACAGACTGCATTTGTTTTCAAAGTAGTGCTATATGTAAGAGATTTTATTGTTATTGATGAGTATTTTGCCACTGCAGTGGCACTTTTGGTGTGTTACAAGTCTATGTGTGGATAAAATACAGTAATAAGTAACTAACTGTTCAACTCTACGCTTTTGCACCACTACTGTGTAACTGCAGCAAAAAAAAATTATATGAGGCCTGCTTAGTTGATTTTTTTTTCTCAGTTGATCATTTTGATTTAAAACCATTCAACCTTTAACCGAACCATAATTTCTGTTGTGTTCCCAGAATCACCTCCTCCCCCATACTCTTTGTCCCACTCAGAGGAGCATAAGCCACTGGGTGAGTCTGGGAAAACGACTAACACATAGCAAACCAGTAAATGACACGCCATCATATTTTTAGGCTAGGACACAGGTTATCATTAAAAAGCTGCTTGTCAGGCTTCACCTACATTTATCTTCCATTCTGTTGACGGTGACATGTAGAATTTATGGTAGGGAAACTGTGCAAACAGCCAGCTCTGCAGTTTAAAGGATCATGTTATGCCTGCAACCAAAGGTTATTTTCATCATCACTGCATCTGGCAGTTTTTTGATTAATTGGGTCATTCTATAAAATGTCTAAGGTGATGACCTTTTTTTCTACCAACAGTCCAAACCTTTAGTATTTTTAATTATAGAGAATAAGACAGCAAATCTTCATATTTAATGTGTTGTATAACTTTTTTTTTTGATAAATGACTTAAATTACTAATTGGTTACCAAAACTGTTTTCAAATAATAATCTGGACCTCACTTATATGTGTGTGTGTTTTCTTTTTCTTTTTTTTTTTACATTTACTAGACTCAACCCTGTCTTACACTGAACCCCCCGCCTTCTCCGGTCCGCCTCACATTATGTCAAGAGACTACACAGGTGAGTAACATGCAACATTACTGCACAAGTACATGAACAATGGGAGCAGGTGGATGCTTGTTTCTGCAGGGTATGATGTTACAAGTTGATTTGTATACTTCACCCGCCTATATGTCTAGAAATGGAAAAAGTTTGACATGAGTCAAACATGAGTTTGTGTACACTTAGACACACACCACACACACACACACACACTTACTCATGCATGTGAATACACATAGCATGCATCCTCTTTGAATGTTTACATAAAGTGGTAAATTAAATGTGCTTGTGTTATTATGTTGTTTTCCTTTCTATTTTCAACCAAAAACTCCACTGCATAAAGCTTCTGTTGTCAGTATGGGGTGGGGGGAGTCTGCGGTCACTCACTATCTAGAAAGAACAGCAGTGTAGCCTTTTGTCTCCCGCTCCCTCCACTTTCTTCACAGCAAAATATTTCACTGAGATGAAGCTGCAATAAGATCCCCGTGCATACTCCAAATCCAGTTTGCTTCTCAAACCACCCATCCCCCTTGTTCCCTCTTTCTTCCCTCAAATCCCTCCATTCCTCTCTGCAGTTGAGCAGTGGAAAGAGGCTGGCATTTTGGGGGCGGGGGAGCTGCAGAGGTGTAGAGTTTTGCATGCATGTGTATATGTGGAAAGCAGGGACTGAGGGCTGCTTTTGAACAGGAAACAGCCCCCTCTAGATGATGAAACTGGAGCTTTATTTGTTTACGTGCTGGGGTTAGGGTGGAGAGGTCCTTGTAGCTTTAGCAGAAACCCACAAACCCACTCGATCAAACCTCCCTGGGCTCACTTGTGGACAGCGTTGAAAGGTGAATGGACACCTATGAAGTCTGTGTAATGTAGTCACAGACTTGTCAGACCCCTCTGACAGAGAGAGTGGAGTAATTCCAGTAAGACCAGTAAGCTGCAGTAATTTACTGAGTTATGTATGTTTTCAATATTAGAGGCTGAGCTGTAGAGAGCATTTTAGAAAACCTCCATCACAGGTTTTCCCAGTGCACTGCTTTCACAAGATTTTGACCAGACATCAAAATAAGACGATGCTTTAAAAACTTTGATTTTCCATATTTTATTTATTTACTTTATCTATTCAGTTACACTTTTTGAGCATTTTACTTCCCATAACTAATGTCTAAATGCTGTTTCAAAGCTTTCTTCTGGCTGTCAGGGATAAAATATTGAGGGATACACACTGAAACCTCTATCTATCTTTAGTTTGTTGATCTAAAAGTAGTCCATTTTAACAAATTTGAGTGTCAAAATCAGCATATATAATTTTAATTGTTGCAAAATACTGAAACCAAGCTACCAAGGCCTTATTTCTGTGTCGACCAGAGGCTTGCGATAAATAATTCAGTTGTATTTTTATTACAAGTAATCACGCTCTTTCTTTCCTTGCTTGTATACCACATTACATAGTAATTTGTCTAATTGATAAAGTACTTTTAGGTCAGTTTATGCTGACAAAATGTGGACATCAAATGTTGTTACTGGAAGCTATCTTTAAAAAGTCTATCAAGTGAAGGTCAAAAGTCATTCAAGAGTCAAGTTATAGGTTGTGATTTTGAGCCTACTCCAGGTTGAGCTGCAAGACGGTACCTCCTATTGTTTTCCTGGTGAAATGAGTGGAAGTAGATCAGTTTCCTTATGAGATGAGTTGTGTGTGTGTGTGTGGTCTCAGATACCCTGCCCCCCCCACTCCCCCACCCCACAGCGCTGGAGCCGAGAACTAGAGCTCAGGCCAAGAGCGTGAGTAGGAACAAAACACAGAAGGAGCCAAGAAATCTGCATGTAGCTTTTTTTTGTTAACTCTGACAGGTTATAAGACTTCTGTTTTGACCTACAACTGGTAGAACAACAGGAAATAAGCTGAACACTAAGCTTATTCCAACATGTATCAAAGAATTGCCTGCAGCTTACAAACCCCTTGATGCCGGTTAGATCTTTCAACAGTGTAAATGGATCTTTTTTGTTCAGATCCTCTGGCTTATCATCCAAAGCCTGTGATGTTTTCTTTTGAACAAATACAAGCATTTAACATGTGCTCCAGCACATAAGCATCTTTTTCTGTTCTTTTAAAACCAGCCATGTGCCCTAGCTTTAAGAAAGAAAAGGCTGCAGCAGGGTGTGGTCAGTACATACCTTTGCCCTGGCCTCTTTTATCATTCAATAAGTTAATGTTCCCTTTAAACCGCAGAAAACAGCCCTGCTTTGGAAACGGAAATGTCTACTGAAAGTTTAGTAGGTTTATATCTACATGGACTGTCCCTCTGTGACTCCAACAAAACAGGTCTTTGTCAGTGTGCATGTGTGTGTGTGAGGCAGCGAGGAATTTCTGTCTGACTCAGTGATAAGATCATCTCAGAGTGCAAACATAGGGGCTCTACCAGGACAAACACACACACACACACATCAATCATGTAGTGTCTGGACAGGAGGCAAAGTTCTGCCTTTTTACTTTTATAATTGATGTATAACTAAAAGTTACATATTTAGGCTAAACTGTATTTAACAAAGTCTGACTTGCCGTCTGTCTTTGGTCTATCAACACCGTTTTCTATTGCTCCCTCCTTTCTATATGTTATTTGCTTCCTGTGGTGGTACAAAACTTACTAAACCTTGGAATGAAATTGCCAGTGTCACATTAACCTCTAAAACCAGTTTTTGCCAGACATAGCTGTATTCACATAATGAAATGTGGTATGGATGTTGTGAATACTTTATTTTATGGGTCCTTCCTTTCTGTGCTGCCAGTTGTGAAGGCAGCAGCTCTTATGGCTGTTGAGACTTGCTCCAGCAGTGTCGCTGCAGCTAAGATGGCCTGTTGTCTGTCTGTATCTTGTTAAGTAGTGATGTAACATTCTGTTTCCACGTCCAAATTTCGGTTCATTCTCCTCATTTCAAAATACCACGGTGTTGTGCTCTTCAATGTTTCAATAGATCTGAATCAAAAATCACAGATCAGCGGCCATTTTACTACTTTCCTTGTACTGAGAAGAAGAAAAATAAATGGCTACAGTTGATTAGGCAAGTCACAGTATTCTTAAATTAGTGGTCAGTTTAATAAAAATCAAACTTCTAAAGGTGTGCTTGGTTTGGTGCCTCATAATGTAGCTAGCTAGTTAGCACGAAGTTAATTTGAGTTGAAAGAATTTAACCTTTTATTTAACTCAGTGATGCCTCGCTAAAAAAAGATGTTATTGTTTAGAGGGTGACAGGCTCCGCCATATCTGGTGGAGCTTGGACCCGGAAGTGGAATGTTACGTCACACTTAACAAGCGGATAGGTTTATAATGTCTTGCACACTAACTCTCAAAGGTGATTCCGCTCTTACAAATCTATGCCTGCATGCTCTCACATTCTGATTTGCAAACTGAATAGCATTCGAAACCTGTTTTGTGCACTCTCAAACCTTTTGACTCTGACAGACTTTGACACAAAAGCCTAGTGGAGAAATCTGAGTGCACACATGATCTGATTCTGCTCTTAAAAATCTGTACGCTCTCAGAAGTTGAGTTGCAAAGTGAGCATTCCATGGAGGGAATCCACAGCATCTGAACTGAACAAACCCATGTAGAGACAAGTTTGATTAGGACAATGAATCCATATATCATAGTATTGTTATGCATTTTACTCTGCCAAATGGTGACCCAATAAAAACAGGCTTGCAACCCTAAGTTTGGAATAGACAGTGTTAGGATATCCTAACAATGACAGCATTCAGCTCAAAGTCTACTAGGCTGACAAAATACAGCTGAGCCTGATGAACGCAGAACTAGTTTGACAAGTAGATCTGAGCCTGATAAGATGAATCTGATGTTATATTCGAATCATGGCAGCAGAGTCTGGAGAAACAGAATGACGTATAGCTATGACTTGAGGGCTCACACGTTACTCAAAACTGGTTTTCTGTATTGGGGGTCCTGTTGTCACGCCATTATACAGAAAAAGCAGCATAAATCAGCTATTGTCTTGATGAGATATATCAATAGCCCTTCAGAGGCAGGTTAAATTACATAGCTATAAACAAGCTGGGTCAGCTACAGCTCATTTATAATTAGCTGCATCGATACTGGATTATGTTTACATTGAACTGGACCTCGGCACTGATACTTCATGGCAGATATTTCCAATATATCCCTCCTCTAATTGGGACTGACACTAATTGTTGCTCCTGCTGTTACTATAAAGTTGATGCAGACTCTTATCATAACCATGGGCTTTCCAGTGGCACACCCTCAGGCCACATTTTACATTGAGAATAATGAAATTGTCTTCTGATTTTTGTGTGCTGGTGTGTAATGAATACCATAGCCTCTTAGGCAGCAACATCATTTGTGCAACAATCAAACAAACAGTGTTGCTAGCAGGGCTGCAGGCTTTTGTCTTGTATGTATTTATCAGTATCTTGGTGTGCGATTGTTATGTTTTTGACAGCACTAACAAGTATGCATAGTGCTATTTTTATTTTAAAAAATAAATGGACAATGTTCATGTCAGCTTTTATCATATTACATCATTGTAAGTGTCAAACATCTGTTGTCATCAGGCCTGACAAGTAAAGTGAGGCAATGATACTCCTTGGATACTAGTATGGCCTAGATGCACCGAAGATAAGAAGACTGCTTTGTCTCTGCCCTCAGTAATCATATTTTGGTTGCTTGTTTGCTTAAGCAGACCAAGGTATCAGCCAAACATCCTGTCTCAAAGTCCTGTCTGCACTCGCTGCTGCATTAACCCCATGAATTGGCCCTTTGACTGATGGGGCACAGCCCAGGAATGTTGGGAAATTGGGAAGGTGAGGGTAGTAGGGTCTCTGAGCGAAAGAGGTGGGGGGGGGATAAGAGGGTCTGACTCTGGAGAGTGACATCTGATACATGTTTGAACATATCGTCGTTAATACTTAAGAAACATGGAGCCGAGCCGACATTCTTGGACGTTTGGCAGACAGATTTAAGAGTTTGACTGCATCGTGCTGTTTTAGTGAGCTTAGT